ATACTTTCGGAAGAGATGTTGTATTTTAATTAAGAAACAGAAAATATCTAACACACCATAGAAGCGTGCAAGGTGCATATAAATTGAGAATAATCTAACTATCCTTCAAAAAAATTAGGAAGGGATTACAATGAATGTAACTCAGTTCCACAAACCCATCAGTCATTTCAGTGAAGATAATAAAGACCAGTTTTATGCAAGGTAGCAGTTCATCCTACAGTAAAGCATAGAAAACCACCTAACTGTCGTAATGGAGGACGTGAACGCCATAATCAGGAAGGAAAACACCGGGCGTGAATCCAACATGAGGAGGCATGGATTAGAAGGATTAAAACGAGAATGATGACAATAAACGATTTGAGCGCATTCAACAACATTATCAGAGTGATGTACTAAAAAAAAAGGTTAGCGAAGAATATCTGAAGTTTGTGCTGATGATGTTGTTCAGTAGAAGAACAATGAAAGCTCCACAACCAAAACATCCAGCTAGGAGAATCAAACACCACCACCACAATCATCCACCTGAGCTACATATCTTCTCCACCATCTCAAAAGCTGAAGGCATGGTTATTGACTGGTCTACGTTAGTTATCCTAAACGATACTCAGTAAACTGTTCAATGTAGAAACGGATCAGCTTGATTGGATAACGGCTGAGTATGATTGATAGTAAACTAGTCAACACATTTCTAGAATCGTTTTTCTTTTTATCTTAAACCTCATTCACTTCGACAGAATAATATAGTTTTAGCTACTAAGAATATAATGTTCTAACATGTTTTATTACTTACTTACTGCTCGATTTGCTTTTACCAGTTTTCGCCGTTTATGGCGCAGGCGAGATATCTGTTCGATAACCAAAGGACGGGTGTACTGCGCATCAGTTCGCTTCGTTCTCCTGTATGGATGCGAAATATGGCAGTTAAGAGTAGAAGATGTTCGTAGGTTACTAGTATTCAATCATAGATGCCTTAGAAGCATTGCTCGTATATCGTGGGACAACCGAGTAAGCAATGCTGTCGTTAGGAAACGAGTACTAGGTAAGGATGGCAAATCAATAGATGAAGTATTGAAACTTTATCAGTTGAAGTGGTTGGGATATGTGTCACGTATGCCTAACCACCGACTGCCTCGACGAGCTATGTTTTGTGGTGTAGGAGTAAGTTGCAAGAAAGTTAGGGGCGGCCAAACTAAAACATGGCACAAATCCATGAAGTCACTGACAAGTGGACTGAGTCATGTCGGTAGTTGTAGATTACCTGCTTGGGATCCGCGAGACGAAAGTCACCAATGGTTAGAGACCTTGAACAACATGGCTCAAAATTGTCTGCCATGGAGCAAGTGCATCCATTCGTTGTGCTTTCTCAAATCCTAATCATCTGGATTCGTCAGCACCTCTACCTTTGTCTTTCTAAACTTATCTCACTGAATCATACTTCTTGAATAATATCTTCAAACCCTAGTCTTCTTCATTACCATTAATACCTCTACTATCTTTATCACTATGGGATTTGATTTAACATATGCGTCTCTGTGCTAATGTGAACTTATGTACATACGTACGAAGTTCTACGTTGCAACTGACTGACTGACTGACTAACTGCTCTGATAGATATTTTCACTCGCTGCAATTAAAATCACTACAATTTATCATTTCATGACATTTTTACAACACGCATTCAAGTATTATTATGTAAAAGAAACAAAAAAATGATAAAAAATGAAGATGAATGTCCCCATTCATCATCATAAATCTATGTTGTATTCATTCATCATGTTTTTTTTTCTTAAACACACAATATAAAGAATAAATCACTTCCTTACTAATAATATTAATAGTCTTGTATATGTTTTTTTATTCAACCAAATGATCAGGCGGAAAAATCAATATATGGTATACATATCATCGATCCAGTTCATCAGTAACACATATGTGAATCTTCTTTTTTTTTATCTCTAATACTTTTTTGTTTGTTTGAACAGTTCAGTTTTTCTTCTTAAAAAATTATGCACAAAAATGTAGTGTACTGTCATAAATTTGTTTGAATGTATATATACATATATATATATATACCGATAGGCAAAGCTGAATTTATCGCCTATCAAATAATCAACATCTATCTTGACTAGGAATAAAAATTCGACAAGTTTGAATCTAACAACAACCAACACACATACATTTTCATATGACGTTGTCGTTCTAAATCTCTCTCTCATCATCATCATCATCATCCTCACTCAATTATATTGAAATTAAATTTTGATATAACATATTTCAGATAGTATGAATTAGGGACATGATGAGTATATTTTTTTAATTTTGAAACTCATCACCTCAATCCACCCGTGTACCGACGACAGCATTATTCTATGAAAATTTAATCTTGTGCTTAGTACACTGAAACAATAACAAGGTTGATATAACAAACGAATGTTTTTTGATGACATTAGATACAAACTGTTTATTTCAAGCACATAGCTAAAATATTTAAAGCATTTTCAAATAAAATGTTCCATTGAATTTTGACTACAATAAATACACAGAACATTGAACTGTTGTGAATGAAATGTGTTGAATTACAAATGTTTGTCATCTGTTCGAAACGAATACTGTTTAAAAGTTAGATTTTGTGCACAAATCAATGCAGATCTAATTTAGTAAACTGTAAGTACGAATTCAAAATACTAGAAGAGTAAGGGCTAAACTAATAAAAATCTGAATTCTATTATGTACGTATCAAAAACGATATAAAGATATTATCTATACTTCAAGATGATTTATTTGACATAGACCTTGGTTATTATTAATGGTTGCAAACCTCCTAGAGTCTCTAACTGATGGTTAGAGACCTTGAAGGACATGGCTCAAAATCGTTTGCAATAGCGCAGGTGCATTCCATTCATTCATTGTGTTCTCTCAAATTCTAACCTCCTAAATTCATCATTCCCATCTTTCTCTTTGTTAAGTTATCTCACTGAATTATACTTCTCGTATCATATCTTCGAACTGTAATCTTCTTCTTTACCAGTAATACTTCTGCTATCTCTACTACTATAGTATTTGAACTGACAAATGCGTCTCTGTGCTGATAGGGTATGGCAAGCTGAACTTACGTACTCATGTACAAAGTTCTACGTTTTAACTGACTGACTATGTACTTACTGTATAACTAAACATAATTTATGGTTAGAGATTGTAAATCACATTGCTCAAACAAAATCTTTTTACTGTATTCCTTTGCCTATTTTAAAATGTCACCTTAATCTTATTCGTTGTTTTTGAAAACAAATCTTCTGACGTTTGTTTCTCAGTACACCTCCTATTAGTACTTCAGTATTTTTTTTCTTAGATTTCTATCTCACTGCTGCCATCTTTTAATTTACTGTAAAAAAATGGTGGGGTAATGATGTATATTATGGAAGTCTTTTCAATAGTTGTAACTGACTTGATTGGCTACTAGATGGCGAAAACCGGAAAGAATAGCATAGGATCTTATATTTAACTACTTCTTAACAATGAAATACTATCTTACTTCTTTGTTTTTACATTGTATTCATGAATGAATCATTATTAGACCACCCTTCGGAACCTGGAAGCACTGGACGACCGTTTCGTCCTAGTACGGGACTCGTCAACAGTGGAGATCCTCCTAGAGTGAGGTACTGCACAACTAATCACATAGCTCGAACAAAATCTTTTTACTGTATTCCTTAGCATATTTTAAAATATGAAATTAATATCAAACTATAGTCCTACATTCCTTGAACACGTTGGTTGTTATTGCAAACAAATCTTCTGACGTTTGTTCCCCAGTACACCTACGCCCTCCAATCACAAGTGAATTAAGAGTTAAGCAAGGTAAAAGCTTACGTAACAGGTATATGGACACATAACATTATTTAACTTCTTTGATTTTACATGGAGATCATTAATGAATCCCTGTTAGATCATTATTATGATATTCATCAAATATCCTAAGAGAACAATTTGTAAGTCTAATTCTATTGATCAATTCTTATTGGTCAATATTATGGTCATCCTAACTATCAATGTCACATACTTCAATATTGTTTCCTATTCGACTTAACTGTATAAATATGCATTATCTGTAAAGCTTATCATTCCTCCTTTCCTTCTGTACTCGACCTCATAAACAACTTCATCTAAGATAAGATCAATCGGTAGGATTTTGAATAGCCACATAACGGTATCATAAAAACCAACATTCTAAATCTGGAAGCACTGGATAGCCGTTTCGTCCTGGTATGGCACTCATCAGCAATGAACATCCACAACTCCCGCTACTCACAGGATCCCAACCCCAGACCTTCGATATTGCGAGCGAACGCTTAATCGCTGGACCACTGAGCCGGCACCCGACGGTGTTAATGTCTAACTCTGATCAATCTAAGAATTTTGCGCAACCTCACTCATTCGTCTTCCTTAGTTACTGCCTACACCCGCCAGAATTAAACTCTATACCGCTCACATTCTATACAGAGAAAACAATGAAAACACAATTGATGATTCTATTAAAAAAAAACAAAGCACTTGAAAATGTATTATTCGTTAGAAATTTGCTGCCAACACACTACACACGCACACACACTGACTATCACTGACTATCATTAAAATAATACACTCACTGGTTAAACGACAAAAAGAAAGAAGTGGAAGAAAGGTAGGTAGGTAGGAAGGTAGGTAGGAAGGAAGGGAGTTATTCTTCTCATACGCATAATACACACTAGTGTAAAATGGAGAGCGGGGAGGGGGGCGAGAGAGAGAGAAGTTCATGTTTCATTATTTATAAAAGGTTATACATATATATATATATATATATATATATTTCTGTTTTCTTTGAAAGTACACCACAATTACAAACTGATAGGATTAAGAACAAATATATATATATATATATATATATATATATATATATATCATACAAATATATATTCGATAGATATGAATTTCACAATAATTGTGTCATTAATTCATACACATAAAAATACAGAAGAAGCAGAAGAAGGAGAAGGAGAAGAATATATATATGTGTAAATGAATTAAATGCGATCGAGCATAATAAAATAAATTATGTGATCACTTTATTTCAAACAAATATCTACTTGCAAGTTGTAATATGAACAGAGAGAGTGGAGAGAGGAGAGAGAGACACGGAATAAAGGAAGGTTGGGTAGATAAATTAAAGGAAAAACAAAAACAAACTAATTTGACAATAAAAGATCAGAGAATGTTTGAGTTATTTATTTATTTTTACTTAATTTATCTACGTGAATGTCGAGATGAACTTTGGGATTCTGTAGTTGTATAGATTGTAACAGAGTTCGGATTATTATTATTGGTAGTATTGTTACTATTGTTTAAGCTTGATTCAATATTCAATGAATCCAATGATGAACGTTGATGATGATGATGGTGATGATGAGCTGAATGAATGAAGGAAGGAAGAGAAACAAACAAACAAGCCGATGAATAAAAAAGATGAATGTAATGTGTATCATCAAACTGATAATAGTTTACATTTTCAGTAATATATATAATATATATAACTAACATATTAACGAATATATAGATTAAAAGTAAATACAAATAAATATGAGTTAATTCAGTCAGTCAGTCAGTTGCAACGTGGAACTTCGTACGTAAGTACATCAGTTCATGTAGCCATACCACATCAGCACAGAGATGTAATTGTCAATTCAAATCCAATAGTAGAAGAGGTAGTAAAGGTATTAGAAGTAATCGACCCGACCGTAACTGCTACCTTGACGTGGTGGTAGGGCTTGCCTATCATGATGACCCAACTGAGCTATATTGGCGGAAACTTATGTTCCAGAAGGTTCTACCATGCCAGGCAAGTCGACTGGAGAACGATAAGACTAAAAGCAGCTACTCAAGGTCTGAGGGCGAAGTCGTACTGCTGACTGTAGATGGGTATGACAGCAGTAAGCTGTTTCCCTCGGACAACCAGCATCTGCAGCGATGCTGCCTTCTCACAAGGAAGGAAGGGTTAGAAAATGTCGACCCTAAAAATGTTACACCTCACCCTACCTCACGTATTTTCGTCTTCTTGGGTAAGGGTGCCCACTAAGGGCTTTTAAGAGCGGAGCTAATACTCAAAAAACGTTTCATAAAAAGGCCGTGCGTGACCGGCCTCAAGTAGTTGTCTCTTGGGCTCTGCGGTCACGCACCAACACTAATCTATCTTCCTTTTCAGGTCCCTCAAAAAACAACCTTCCACGGTGTGGGCAGCCGGGAAGTGACAACCGCCTTCATACCCATAACAGCACGCGAGACCAAAGTGGTCAAAATCAAATCCTTCTTACACCCCCTAATATCTCTCTTATCTCTACGACATTATTATATTCCATCATATATATATATATATATATATATATATATATATATATATATATATATAATATACACACAAATATAAATTATGAATTTGATCAGCGGGACCTACCTTTATTTTCGCTTACCTTTCTTTGCTTTCTTAACTAAACCGACAGCAGAATTGGATGTGATTAAAATTCGTTCATTGTCTAAACTTGGTTCTTGACTTTCAGTTGAATTACTCGATGATGCACGTTGATGACTTGATTGTCTAGATTGATTATGATGATGGTGATGATGTTGATGTTGATGACGTAGAGAAGCATTAACAGAATATACATTTTCACCAGGACTAGTAGTTGAACGACTACTACTAGTACCGCCACCGCCACTGCTGCCGGAATTAATACTATTCAAATTGACAGTTGTGATACCAGCGGCAGCATTTGTATAGCGTAAATTTTGTACAGCATTTTCTGGAGTGATCGGTGGTGCACTACTACTACCGCCTGGCATACTTGTCGGAGTGGTACGTTTACGTGTGGAAGATTTATGTGATTCACGTGGTTCGTCAACTCCAACGGATGCCTGTTTTAAATAGATTTCCAAAAAAAGGCGAAACCTAACATGAATACGTATCGATCAAACTGTTGTCATATTTAATAAAACAGTCAAAGTATATGGCTTAATAGTTTCTTAATGATATCAAAGAATATGATTTGAACAGAAATGAAATAATGAAATCATGAAATAGTATGGAAACTCATAATCTTACTTCGTATTGTGTAGACACTAATCATGTAGTGTACATATGTTATATCACTAACTTAATAACTATGTGTTAGTTAATTCCACTTAGCTTTTTTTACAAGTTAGTTCAACACATGATGAGGTAACAAGAAGTTGTACACAGTTTTGATTCCCTGCAACAGATTTTTAGTATTATTTATTTGGTTAATAAAGTTTCCAATTAAATTTAAAAAAAGCAGAGATACACACTAAGTTCACTTTTAGCCATCATCGATCAGTTCAGTTATAAGGTTTAAAACTGCATATCATTAGAAAAAATACATGTTTTGCATCAAAGGGGTTGTGGAGATTGTTGAGTTACTGTTCAAATCATGAATCGATCAATGTTAGACTATCATTAGAAACCTGGAAGCGTTCGCGCGCAAGACTGAAGGCGATGGGTTCAAATCCTGTGAATAGTAAGAGTCAGTCAGTTGCAACGTAGAACTTCGTACGTATGTACATCAGTTCATGTTGCCATACCACATTAGCACAGAGACGCAAATGTCAAATCAAATCCCATAGTGATGAAGATAGTAGAGGTATTATTGGTAATGAAGAAAACTAGGGTTTGAAGATATTATTCAAGAATTATGATTCAGTGAGAAAAGTTTAGGAAGACAAAACTGCAGGTGTTGAAGAATCCGTAAGATAAGAATTTGAGAGAACACAAAGAATAAATGCACGGGCAGCATGTCATTCAAGGTCTCTAACCATTGGTGACTTTCGTCTCACGGACCCCAACCAGGTAGTTGACATCTACCAACATGACTCAGTCCACTAGTCAGTGACTTCATGAATTTCTGCCATGTTTTGATTTGGCCGCCCCTAACTTTCTTCCAACCTACGAGTAGTAAGAGTCGTGGATGCGCACTGCTTTTGATGAGTCGCAGCGGCCGTCCAGTGCTTTCAGGTTTCAAATGGTAGTGTGGTGGTCTAACGTTGATTGATTCATGATTTCAAAATATAACATTTTAGTATTGTGATCGTTGGCTTTTTACTCATTACTAACAACAAAATGTGTTTTATTGTATGATGATGAATTGTTGCACTGCCATAATAATAATAATAATAATAATAAAACATCCTCTCCAGCCTACTTGATAACGAAATCATATTTTTATAAAAATAATGATTACTTTTAGAAAAAAAAAATTAAATTGAATACATTTGAGTTTTATTATTCTTCAACATCCGGTTCGCTCTTACACAATCAATCCATCAATCAATCAGTCAAACAAACAACCAACCCACCGACCAACCGAGGGAGCGAACTTCGATCAGGATAGTGTGTGTGCGTGTGTGTGTGTGTGTGTGTCAGCGTATATGCATGCATGCATGCAAGCAAAGCATAGGAAAACAATGTAAATGTGAGAAAATTCAACAGCAACTTAAAAAAATCTTCTTCAGTAAAAAAGGAAGAGTAAAAATTCTATGAAAATTATTTTTTTTTTTACAACTAACGAAAATAAATCAAAAAACAAAAAACTTATAGATAGATAGTGAGGAAAAAACAAACACACACGAAACAAACAAGACAGTAAGTAGTAAGTCTTCTTCTCGTTGTTTGTTAAAATGAGAATTCATTTTATTCAGTTTAAAAATTATTATTATTAAAAATGTGTAATTATTGGCGCAAAGAGGCATCCAAAAATCATGTATATATATATACATGCGCCACAACAACCTGCTGAATTCGTGAGTGAGTCGGGACGATGGCAAGTCAGTCAGTCAGTCAGATGCAAAGTAGAACTTTGTACGTAAGTGTACATCAGTTCATGTTGCCATACCACCACATTAGCACAGAGATGGAATTGTCAATTCAGATCCAATAATAGAAGAGGTAGTTAAGGTATTAGAAGTAATCGGAGAGATTACGATTAGAAGATATTATTCAAGAATTATGATTCAGTGAGAAAAGTTTAGAAAGTCATAACTAGAAAGGTTGAAGAATCCAGAAGATTAGGATTTGATAGAACACAGAGAATAAATGCACCTGCGTCGTTGCAAACGATTTTGAGCCATGTCATTCAGGGTCTCTAACCATCCATTATTATCATCTCGCGGACCCCAAACAGGTAGTCGACAACTACCGACATGGCTCAGTCCACTCGTCAATGACTTCATGGATTTCTGCCATGTTTTGGTTTGGCCGCCCCTAACTTCCTTCCAACCTACTCCTACACTACAAAACAAAGCTCGTCGAGGCAGTCGGTGGTTAGGCTACGCAACACATGTCCAAACCACCTCAACTGATGAAGTTTCACCACTTCATCGATTGATCTGCCATCCTTGCCTAGTACTCGTATCCTAACGACAGCATTGCTTACTTGGTTGTCCCCCGATACTGGAGCAATGCTTCTGAAACACCTATGATCGAAAACCAATAACCTACGAATATCTTCTACTCTCACTGGCCATGTTTCACAGCCATATAGGAGAACGGAGCGAACTACTGCGCAGTATACTCGTCCTTTAGTCAGCAAACGGATATCTCAACTACATCATAAGTGACGCAGGTTGGCAAAAGCCAGTCGAGCCTTCTGTATCCGTGCACAGATTTCGTCAGTCACCAGGCCATCAGCACTGATGAGACTCTCCAGAGACGATGGCAAGACACCCAAGGTGAATTAGGGACCACTCTCCAAGACTCTTTAACCCGAAAAATTCAATTCACAACGTGGTGGGGCGACGTAAGGAAAAATGTGATTCCATGGTATCATCCGGTAACTAACACAACAGGTAGAGTGCTGCTATTTGATCCGCCAGGATCCTGGAACTTATTCGGGCCAGTGGTATGAAGTAAGGCTTTTTTCAACCTCTCTAGCTGGATTGTCCATACCCAGCAACCTGATGTAAACGCTGAACATTCGCTCTTCGCGTTACGTAACTTTCATAAACAACACTCCCTATCAAGGGACAGCACTGGGTAGGACATCCTTGCCAGTGGCTATTCACCCATGACACTATACAGAACATTTCAAAAAGGAGAGCGACAATACCAGGGCATTGACAGACAGTTTATACAAACTACTTGTTAAATTTTTTGGTTCCGTTAAATCTTGAGACTGGGCTTCTGTAATTGCTAATTACAGAACAATTGAGATTTTAGTAATAAGAATACGAGCCAATAGAAACTCGAATAGACCACAATGGTGTGTCCCACAATAATTTCAACCTCAGTATGAGGCAAGAAAGAGAAGAAGAATTGAAAAAGAGCTTTATATTCTGAATAGAAGTCAAAAATTGAAATGGAATCATCATGACCATTGTGATGAAGCTTCATTGGTTGTTTGCTTTTCAGACGTCATTAGAGCATATTTCAAAAAGAAACAATTGATGGAAGCTTTTCTACAGTTTCCTGTAGTTAGTATCAGTGATTAATAGTTATACCAATCAACTTCCTTTGTTAGCCCATTGTCGAAAGATTTCAACAGCTCACTTTGAATTATGATAACGTCTAGACAGGATTACCAGAGGTTTATAATTAAACTACTATCCAACTCAGACGATACAAGAACTTCAAATTCCTATTTCTAAGTTCTATCACATCTCATAGGTTTGTATATTAAACTATGAGACATCACTTTTCTTATTGATATAAAGGCTATAGATACTACAATCAAGTGCTCAAAAATTACGTATGTAAAATAGGGTTTCCAGTTTATAATTTACTAATTAAGGGTTAAGAAACTTGGAAAACTACCAAAGCCATCATCCAGAAGATACAAGTGTTTATTAACAGTTGTCTACGCAAAATACTTCAGATTCGTTGGCCAGACACCATCAGCAACAACGAACTGTGGGAGAAAACTAACCAGATTCCAGTGGAGGAGGAAATCAGGAAGAAGCGGTGGAAGTGGATAGAACAAACACTACGAAAAGCGCCTAACTGCGTCACGAGACAAGCCTTCACATGGAACCCTCAAGGCAAAAGGAAAAGAGGAAGGCCAAGGAACACATTACGCCGAGAAATAGAGAAAGATGTGAGAGGAATGAACAAACATTGGACAGAACTGGAAAGGGAAGCCCAGGACAGAGTTGGTTGGGGGAAACTGGTGAGTGGTCTATGCTCCATTGGGGGTAACAGGCGTAAGTAAGTAAGTACACATTGAAATCATCAATCAATCATTGTTAGACCACTATTAGAAACCTGGAAGCACTGGGCGGTCATTTCGTACTGGTATGGGAGTCATCAGCAGTGCGCATCCACGACTTCTTCTACTCACAGGACTCGAAATTAGGATCTTCGGTCTTGCGAGCAAACGCTCAACCTCTAGACCGGCATTAACTACCGAAGATAAATACGTGAGAATGCGTAAAATCCCTAGATTGATCAGAGTTAGACATTAATACCGCCAGATGCCAGCCAACTGGTCCAGAAGTTAGGCGTTCGCGAGCAAGACCGTAGGTTCTGTGTTCGAATCCTTTGAGTAGCAGGAGTATTGGATGCGCACTGCTGATGAGTCCCATACCAGTACGAAATGACCGTCCAGTGCTTTCAGGTTTCTAATAGTGGTCTAACAATGTTTGATTGATTTCAGATGTGTAAAAACACTGATCTCCATAACTAACTGAAACAAAAAATTGAGAGTCAAATATTTTATAGCCTCTAAATTACTGGTTGAATAAATAAATCCAATTAATTGTAAACACATAGTTAGTTATTTAGACAATTAAATTAGATTCAAAAAATTTAGGTTGATTAAAATACTAACGCCTAGAGAGTGAGTGAGTGAGTGAGTGAGTGTATAGCAAGCACCATAAGAAATATTCACTTCAAAAAGATTTTCAATAGA